TTCCAGATCCTACCCTTTTATTCTTTCTCTCTCCTTTCCTGTTTTCAAAAGCTTTTAATTATCCAGAAATTTTTATTATCCCTTTGAATTTTTATTTTCAGCATTAAATGCCTATTGATGTCAAAATGGATTTTTTTCCAATTTCTTGCTTAAATCTCTTAGCTGTCAGTATAGGAAAAGGAGAAAACCAAATCTTTTCCCTTTTCTCTCTCCTTTGCAGCTTAAAAATCTTAGGGAACAATGTTATTGTTTTTTAACAGTTTAAATTCCAGGGTACCTTGTTTGTTGCTTTTGCTGTTTGACCCGGTCAACCAAAACTTTCACTTCTTATCTTCCTCCTGCACATTCTTTTCCGGTCGAGTTCTTCTTTGAGGTGGCCATTTCTGATCACTGCTGAAACCGCCTTCGGGAAAGGGAGTAATGGCCAGCTGGGGAGGAGAGATGCGGCTCTCCTCAACCCTGCTGGCAGTCTCCCCCCTCTTCATCACCTCTACAGGGTGGCTTAGCCCTGAAGCCAGCCAGCTCTGGGCACTCCAGCGGCGAACATGGATCGAAGTGTCGCAGAGACGAGGTTTCGGTCTGTCACTGAAGAAACTCAAACCGGAAGTTCCTGGGATTCAAATTTCTGTGGGTGTGGCCTAATTTGAGGGTGTGGCTTACTGGTCATGTGACTGGGTGGGCATTGGGTGACTGGTAAACCAAATACAAGTAGTCCTCACTTAATGGCCGGTTGCTTAGCAAGGGTTCTAATTTATGATTGGCCTCCCCAGAGCTTCTTGACCTGTTTTTGGAGTTTTGACAGCCACGTACACACATACACACACACTCCCTTCTGACCCTGCTGGAGCAGGTCATTGCACTAGAAGCGGCAAAGGATCTCTGATTAGATTCTAGTAGTGAATAGAATCTAACCAGAAATGCTTTGCCGATTCTTGTTGATTTTTATTTGTATTACTTTATGTTGCTGAATTGCATTGATGTGTGTCTCTTCTTGTGCACAACCCAGAAGCTTTTGTGATTCTTTGCAGCAAAAATTACTGACCTCTGGCTTTGCTCTACTTTTCAAACGTGCCGCCACTGCTGCGTTCTAGGTGCCAGCCCTGCAAGTCCACCCCATTGAGCCCGCTTCACCGGAGGGACCTGCACTGGAGAGACCTGCCCAAGCAAAAGACAATTGGGTGAGCCTGAGAGAAGGAAAGAGAGAGAGAGAAAAGAGAGAGAAAGAGAGAATGAATAAAAGAAAGAGAAAAGGGAAAGAAAGAAAAAGGAACAGACAAAGAAAGGGGGAGGATGGAAGGAAGGGACAGAAAGAAAAAGAAATAAAGAAGGAGGGAGGGAGGGAGGAGAAAGATGAGATATCTATTCTAGTCCAATCACCTGCTCCAGCAGGGTTAGAGGGAGTGTGTGTGTGTGGTGTTCTTGTAATTTACCAGTACATTTTGGTTTTGCCTTCTTCAGAATTGGCACTGTAATACATTGGGGAAAAGTAATTTTTTAGGGTGGAGATCTGGTCCAATGGATCGTGTTTAAAGCGTCAACAAAATGTGAGAGCTTTCTGATAGTCTTGACCATGCTTTGTCCACAAAACCTTTAATAGAAGCCAAAGAGGTTTCAATGTGCTGGCAAAGATGTTTCAATGTGGAAAAGGGCCTCAGTCTAAACTAGGCCTCATTTCAATCTGATGCATCAGGTTTCTCTCTCTCTCTCTCCCTCCCCCCTCCCTCCCAGACTGGCTTTGCTCTACTTTCCCGATGTGCCTGCGGGGCCAGTGCTTCAAACATGGATGGATAGAGAGAGAGAGAGAGAGAGAGAGAGAGATAGATTGGTAGATAGGTAGGCAGGCAGGCAGGAAGTCAGACCTTTTCGATGGATGCATGGATAGGTAGGAAGGTAGGTAGGAAGGTAGATAGGTAGGAAGGTAGATAGATCTATATTGATAGGTAGGTAGGTAGGAAGGTAGATAGATCTATATTGGTAGGTAGGTAGGTAGGTAGATAAAAAGACAGGCAGGTAGGCAGGAGGGTAGGCAGACCTTTGGGGTGAATGGATGGATGGATGGACATGGACGGACAGACAGAATGGGACAGTGGCAGCACTTTGGGAAAATAGAGGTACTTTCCCAATGTGCTACCGCCACTGTGTTCAACGCGCCGGCTCCGCAGGCTCACCCAATTGAGCCCCTTGCACCGCTCCGGTGCAACAGTCAATGGGGTGAGCCTGTGGTGCTGGTGCCTCGAACGCCCCCCCCCGCTGCCTCTTAGTGTCCTCAAGGGGGCCGGCAGAGGGGCGCTAAGAGGCAGTAGGGGGGCGTTTGAGGCACTGGCCCCACAGGCTCACCCCACTGACTGTTGCACTCCTCTGGAGCCAGCGCCTCAAATGCGGCAGCACGTTGGGAAAAGCCAACTCCACTGCATTCGAGGCGCCGCCTTCGAAGTGGTGCAATAGTCAATGGGGTGATCCTGCAGGACCAGCGACTCGAACACCCCCCTGCCACTTCTTAGCACCCCTCTGCTGGCCCCCTTGGAGGTGCTAAGGGGTGGCAAGGGGGCATTCAAGATGCCAGCACTGCAGGCTTACCCCATTGACTCTTGCACTGGAGTGATGCAAGGGGCTCAATGCGGAGCCAGTGCGTTGAACGTAGCGGTGGCACATAATGTGCCGCCTCTGCCACATTTGAGGTGCCGGCTCTGAAGCAGTGCAACAGTCAATGGGGTGAGCCTGTGGGGCCGATACCTCAAACGCCCCCCTGCCACCTCTTAGCCTTAGCGCTCCCCTGCCAACCCCCTTGCCTTTTAGCCCCCCCCTAAGGCATTCCCCCCCCCCCCCCAGGGGCAGTACCGCCCACTTTGGGAACCACTGCTTTAAACCCAATCTTTTAAAATAATATATATTTATTAAAATTTGTCAAAATTTGTCTAATGCGGGATTTAGCTATCTTCAAACATTGAGTATCACATTGCAGTGTTGAATTACTGTATAGCATAAACACTAAAAACATTTTTTTTTAAATTTAAAATAATAAAAATTTGGAAAAATTAGCATTTATCTCAAGGAATCAGCCATTTCACCTTGTGCTCTCATGTGGGAAAAATCATATATGTCATTGTATAAGTCCAATCATGGATAAACAAGGCCCTCTTAATATTTTAGCTAATATACCAAGAAAAATGGACCATCTACAGATAAAATGGCTCAATTTTTATTGTATTTTGATTCAGAAAAAGTATCACCATATAGTCTCATGGATGATCCTCATGCATGGTCTCATGAATTTTGGGGTTGATTTTGGCCCCTAGAATTCTAGGCTTATCTGCAAGTGTATACAATAGGTCTATTTTTGAACTTAATTTAAAACAATGTACTGCACCACACTTTTTTTAAAGTGCAACTTATATTAAGGCTCTGTTTTACAGCATGGTTACTCTGATCAATAGAATGCTATGGGAACATCAAAAAGGGGATTTAAACCAGTTAATGAAATTAATTCAAAACAGTGAGTCATGCATAGCAGGGGTTGCCAACCGTTTGGATCACAGGGACCACCAAACTCAAAATTTTAAATCCCGCGGACCAGAGATCTTGGGAAAATCCCCCAAAAATCTGCAGGAAAATTCCCCATCCCGTTTTCCTACTGATTGATTCATTCTTCATTTGGGATTGCAGGATACTGTCTCCAGCTCCGTTCTCAGGGGGAGAGAGAGAGAGAGAGAGAGGGAGGGAGGGAGGGACAGGAGAGAGAGAGAGAGAGAGACTTTTGGCTTCATGCAAGGAAAGCAGCAGAAGTCTTTCTTTCTCTCCCCCAAACACTGCCAGAAATGAGTCTCTGTGAGACTTGTTGCAATGGTGCAGCCTCTTGGAGCAGGATGCCTTGCAGGGTCCCAAAGATTCATTTCTGGCAGTTTGGGGGAGAGAAAGAAAGGCTTTTGCTGCTTTCCTTGCATGCAGCCAAAAGCAGAAGAAGAAAGAAGCAGCCCAGTGGCCAGATGAGTTGTGTAGAGCAAGTGGGGCATGTTCCCCCACTCCTCCCTTTCCCTCCTTCCCTCACTATCGTGTTGTTTGCAATGCAAGCAACACAAGCCTTGTGTTCCCATGGGACATGTGGGCGGCGCAGCCGTGTGTTCCCACACAGTCTGGATTAATTTCTTTGGGGGAGGGCTTTGGTGGTGACATTTCTCTGAGGACCATCAAAATTTTCTTGCAGACCACCAGTGGTCCCCAGCCCACTGGTTGGTGATCACTGATGTATAGCATTAAAGTGGCTTTACTTAATCCTGTTGTGAGAATCTATGAAAGCAGACGTGAATATTTTTTACTACCTAGAATTCTAGAAGAAAAGGAGCACCTGGAAAAGCAACTCATTTATTACAAAACTCACAGCTAAGACTTCACACTTTTAAACCCTGACTAGTACAGTGGCTCACTCATACTTATTGCATGCTAATTAGAGGTGAGGCCACAAATTCCTGCTTATACAAGGGTTAATAGGATACCAACTACCATAAAGCAGTAGAAGATTCTGCATCCTTAATATCTATTGATCCAGTTCCTATGACTCTGCTTCCAGAACCACAACCCACCAGATCCAGCACGATGAAAAAATTAAGCCTGTCATAAGGAACAAGGACATTAAATATTATCATTACAAAATACTATACCTAGGTTCTCCAGTTACATAGAGGAGTATGATGAAAGAGTAGAGTATAAAGGTAGAAGCCAGTACAACCTTTGTTCAGAATGATCCAATCCAAGAAGACCACAGGTAGAAAATATATATCCTGTGAAGGACATGGAGTTATGCCCAGATTGGAGATATCTCATCCTTTTTGAGAGTTTCTGGGAATTAAAGTTTTGAATAATCCAAAGGATTATTTTTTATGGAATCTCTCATTTTATTTTGCCTTTAGGGCCTCCTTTTTAGAATCTTGACCACTGCCTTATGGATATCCTTGTTCCGCAGGATGTAAATGATATGGTTGACTAAGGGGGTGACCACAGTATAAAAGACAGCAATTTGGTTATTACAATTGGAAGCTGACTCAGACTTGTTTCAGGTGCATAGAGATGAGGGTGCCATAGAAAAGATGACCACTGCCAAATGGGAGGCACACATGGAGAAAGCTGGAGAAAACAGCTAATGCACAGCAATCGGCTATGCCACGCGAAGCAACTGATGTTGAAAATCAGGAAATAAAGGTTAGTATAGAGATGGGGCAGATGGAGGGCCCAGCAGCTGATCTTTGGAGAGAACTGGTTTGCTCATAGAGGATTATCAGAGCTACCGGTCCAATCGAACTGGACCAGATCCATAGAATACCATCACTGGTTAGCACCCATCGATGCTTCTTGCCCATAGTTATAGCATAGGTCAAGGGATGACAGACGGCCAGGTAGCAGTCATAGGCCATGGCAGCCAGCAGAAAGCATTCTGTGCCTCCAAAAGTTGTGTTTATGTACACCTGGATTGCACAATGAATAAAGAAGGTGGTTCCATGATCTAACAGGAGGTGAGCTAACATTTGGGGCATGGTACTAGTAGTGTAACAGATCTCCAGGAAAGTACATCGGAGTGTTGAACTGAACCAACATGACAACTGCCAGATTCCCAAGAAGGGTAAGAGAATAGATGAGGAGAATTGTAGCAAAGACTATCATCTGGGTTTTGTGATGAACAGAAAGGTCCAACATGAGGAATTCCCAAATGGAGGTGAAATTCTCAACCTACATTCTAATTCCTACCTACACAAAAAGAAAAACACAGTAGGAAGAAACAGTAACTGTGAGACAAAACTGACCAAAAGATCAATCTTAGGCACATGAAAAGTCATTTTGAGGTCCCAAATGTACTCTCCGTTCATTTAGAAGACAAAATTTCTTAAACAGCAAACGTTCTATTATAATGAATTTACCTGGGCACAAGGGGCAGAAAATTGAATAAGAAATATATTATCTAAACAATAAAACTCCATTTATTTAAGCATTAGGAGATTTAAACACTCTTCTTGTCCTACAAATGAAGGAAAAGTTTTGGAAGTTAGCATTAGAATTAGGATCTCTAATGCTCTCAGTCATTACAAACATCACTTGCCACCACACTGCAGAATTCTAAAATAAATCTCTACTGACATAGTAAAAACATGTTTTCCTGTTCAAGATTTCCCAGGACTTTGCTTCCAAAATTGAGAATTATTCTATTGCAATTAACAATCCCTATATAATTATTTCTACTTCAGCTCTAAATCCTTGGGGGGGGTGGGAGGAAGGTGAGTTATTAACCCAAGTAGAATTATACTTAATGAAAGAGAATGTTGATTCACAGAAATTGATGTAAAAAAAACAAACATGCTGTTGTCAAAGAAAGTGATATTTGCAGTATTGGTTATTGTGCCTTTACCGCAAGTGGTGTGCAGGATTGGCAGGACCAAATGCAGCATCAGTGTTCCTCTGCCATTTCTTCACAAGCAATATCAGCCAGGAGACCTCATTGTTGTGAACATGCTCTCTCAGATCTATGTCTTCCACGCAATGATAGACTTCAGCAAACGTCCCTCTAAGGAGCTCTTTGAGGACACCGTGTAAGATTTTACTCACAAAAAAACATTAATTTGAACTAGGAAGTCTGTTCATATTAGCCTTGCTTCCATGCTTGACTTGACCTTTTCTTTGCTGGATAGCCCTATCTCCACTCTTCCTCCTTCTCCGTTATCATCTTACTTTCCTTTTCTTTTTCATAAGCCGCCTCCATTATCCATGACTACTATATGATGAATGTATCCTCCAGGGGATTAAAAACAGCCTTTCATTTATTTTTCAAATTTTCTCACAATTATGTGGAAAAAATGAAGCATATCATATTAATATTTTTATTTTCTTGGGGGGGGGGTGTTTCCTCATTTCTAGCTATCCAGGGATACATGTTGCTTGTAGGCTGCAAGTTGGAAATGCTTGATTTAGAAGTTTTCCAACCAGTTTGTGTATTCCCTTTTGTTCTCTGAAGTTCTTTAGAGAAATGTTTCTGAAAGTCTTCATCTTTAGCCTTTCTGACATAATGAAAGAAGTTATGGTCCACTTTGGGATTATCAGCTAATAGGTAATGCTATGGTAGAGTGCTACTGTTAATCCATTTTTAAAAAACACCCAAGTTATTTCAAGAGGAATCTGGATGGCCCAAAGCTATGTATTATTAGTATAATCAGCTAAACCATCTTCTGTGTCTTCTTTGCTATAGAGCTATCAATAGACTCTGAAATTATTATCAATGGTGGAATGGAGGTTTTAAAGAAAATGGAGTTTCTCTCCAAAAAGCATCATCGCTCTTTTGAAAAATCAACAATAAGTGACATCATTTTCTGAAATTATTACTCAGAAGGATGTCTATTGGAAGATTGTTATCAAAATCAAAATGATTTCAGCACTATTTCATCACATTCACTTATAAAAAAAGTATGTTATGTGCTTTCATTTCAGTTGAATGCACAGTGAAAAAAATGTATTTCCTTTTCCAGGGTCATGACTCCAATCTACCAGCACATCTTGGCCTTAGAATTTGCTATCAAGGAAATCAACAGAAATCCTCATTTTTTACCCAATCATACCCTTGGATTTCAGATCTATAATACCTACTTCATGACAAGTTGGACGTATCGTGCCTCATTGGAACTTTTCTCTACAAAGGGCCAATTCATTCCTAACTACAATAGTGATAAACAGCACCGACCAATAGCAGTCCTTGGAGGACCTACCACTGAGGTGTGTCTACACATGGCTACCATCTTATCCCTCTATAAGATGCCACAGGTATGAGCTTCTTTTTTCCTCATGTTTTATTTACTTTATTTGTATAAAGTATCAAAAATTCAATTTCAATCAAATAGTGTGTTGTCTGGGTACAATTGGGTTTTTTGGCAATCGTAATCAAAATGTTTACAATAGCATTCATCACAATAACATCAATACTATAATAACAATTATATTTAGCTTGTCTATTTTATCGAGTTTATTATTTATCCTTTTTATGTCCTTGCATTTCTAACGTCTGTTTTTATCGTCTAACCATTGATAAAATAGATCCCATGTAAGTTTCTTCTTTATCCTTAATAATAAATGTTTGTCCACTCCACAGATATGAGCCTGATGACCATGTAGATAGCCATCAATGCCCTTTTATCCTTCTTTTTATGTGAACATTTATGGCAGTAGTTCTCAACCTTTTCTTCACCATGGACTCCCTTTAAACACTTTTGTGATCATGGATCATGGCCACAGACCACCAAGATTCAAATATAACATTTCTACCAGACTTTGTAGACTCCCTGTGATGATATTACAGCCCTCCAAGGGTCTATAGACCACAGGTTGAGAACCACTGACTTATGGCATAGAAAAGAAGGCATTCTTCCCAAAATAACAAGATTATTGTTAAAAACTGATAGCTTCTGATGACTACAAGGGAATTCTGCTATAATGTACTAATGTCCTCAGGTTTGCGGCCATGACTTTTTGTGATTTAAAGATTTAATTATCAATGTTTGTGCTATGTTTTCCAAAAGATTAATTTTCCACTAAAGCAATGTTTAAGAGAAACTGTGACTAAAATTATAGAGAATTTTCAGAAGCATTCTCAGAAGTACCTCAATTAAAGATATATTTAAGACAAAATGTGACTAAGAATATAGAGCATTCAAATGTAACAAACAATATGTTAAAGAGTTATGTTTATGTAGTTACTTACCAAGCACATCTAAATTATATCAAAGTAACCAAAATATCTTTATAATCCCCCCAAAATGAGCACCCCTAATGTTTGGGCATCGAAAGTTGAAAAATTTGACACACCCTAGACTATTCTCACAATTGTAAAAAGAGGAAAGTTTTTTTAGGGGATAATCTACCATTTTACAAATACAAACTGTTAAGAAATTTTGGTACAACATGTTTGATCAAGTTTGCTGATGCAGCTCAGCCTTTGACTTAAAAAAACCTCCATGTAGGATTCTTTAAATATTTCTGTGAAATATCACCTTAGTCAAAATATGAAATATGTTTTGGGCATTGATAACTATATTGTAGCTTAAGTGGGTAAACAATATCACTACGTAATATTTTTTTAAAGAAAGAGAAAAGAAAAACAAATATTCTGTTGTCTATTTCCTAGTATTTTTCTTTTTCTGAAGATAATGTATGGTTCCACTACCGAAAGTAGTACCAAAACAGAGGCTGTTTTATATCAACAAATGTTCCCAAGTATGGACCACCAGTATAAGGGAATTTTTCTATTACTGCTGCATTTCAGATGGACATGGATTGGGATCTTGTCTTTGAAAAATGACAGTGGTGAGAAGTTTATACAAGATCTGGTTCCCATGTTAACCCAGAAGGGGATCTGCTCAGACTTCATTGAAACATTTCCAATCATTGATGATTCAAGCAGCATTGCTGAGTTGGTGGAAATGGGACTTGAAATGTACATGGTGGTTATGAAAAGCACAGTAAATGTAGTACTGGTTCATGGTGAAATTTATGGAATTATAGTTCTGAGACTTCTTTCCACCAATCTGAAAATTGAAGATGCATCATTATGGAGAAAAAATAAAATCTGGGTTATGACAGCTGAGATGGACTTCACCTCACTTCCCTTTCTAAGGAATAGTGACCTAGTCTTCCTCCATGGTGCTCTGTCTTTTGCAATTCACACAGAGAAAATGTTAGGATTCCAGCAATTTGTTCAGATGAGGAAACCAAACTTAGAAGAAGACATTAGTTTTATCAAGCTCTTCTGGGAAAGTGCTTTCCAATGTTCCTTCTCCATCTCTCTTATGAATGAAGATAAAAATGAGGTTCCCTGCACTGGAAAAGAGAAACTGGAAGATCTTCCTACATCTGTGTTTGAAATGGACATGACTGGCCACAGCTACAGCATCTACAATGCCATCTACGTTATGGCATATGCTTTGCATGACTTCCATTCATCAATGATGGAATACAGAGCTAGAGGGCATGAAGCCAAACTGGAACTTCTGGATCAAAATATGTGGAAGGTAAAACCTTAAGCAAACCAACTCTGGTTACTCCCTGTATCTGCCACCCCGATCCTAAACCTAAATGAAATTAATTCTTCCAAGGAGAATGTACATATCTAGGGATGTAGTTTTACTCAATGTCATCATCTGTCTAGCTTTATTCCAAATAAAGTCATTATCAATTATTATATCTGCAATATGTATTAGGATAGGAGCATCCAAATTTTATTTTAAGTTAACTGAATTCTTTATTTGGCCTTACAATATCTAAGTTTTCCATGCTTTCCTGAATTTCTACATTTTTAGAATTTTCTTAAGTTGCAGCATTTATTTCAGAAACAATTTGTTTCAAAGAAAGTCCACAAAGACTGTTTTTATTTCTGTCACTGATGTCTTTCTGTCTGCCTGCCTGCCTGCCATTTATTTTTGTCTGTCTGTCTGTCATCTATCTATCTATCTGTGTCTGTCTGTCTGTCTGTCTGTCTGTATCTATCTATCTATCTATCTATCTATCTATCTATCTATCTATCTATCTATCTATCTATCTATCTATCATCTACCTACCTACCCACCTACCTACTTACCTATCTATCCAACCTTCTCTTGACTTCTTTTCCAATGTAGCTCAACAAATTTATAAGAGCAGTCTCATTCAATAATAGTGCTGAACAAAGGGTTTCTTTCAACCAAAATGGAAAACTGGAAACTGGATTTGATATTATGAATTGGATAACATTTCCCAATCTATCTTTTCTGAGAGTCACAGTCGGAAGGATGGACTCCAAGAACTCCCATGAGGCATTGTTCACCATTGATGAGGATGATATTATATGGCCAGAGAGGTTTAATCAGGTATGTCCAGTTTCATTTTGGCTTTTAGACAAATATCTTTCTGTCAATCCTCAAAAAATCCTCCAGGCAAATCTCTGGATTACCTAGTGAGCTCTTGGTTGTCTTCTAAATTAGATGTGTGATTACAAGGACTAGGCGTATTTAAGAGCTGATGTTTCTTATCATATTGACATAAAACTGCAAAAGAAAGAATGTGCCAAGGATTTAGCACACATTCTGGACTTTGTAAAAAAACACAAAAGTAAAAGTAGTTTATCAAACATACATGCCTGGATGCCTATATACTGACCTTATAATTAGTGGTGAGATTTAATTTTTTTTGCTACTGGTTCTGTGGGAATGGCTTGGTGAGTGTGGCAGGAGAAGGATACTGTAAAATCTCCAATCAGAGGTGGTATTTGCCAGTTCTCTGAACTACTCAAAATTTCCACTACCAGTTCTCCAGAACTGGTCAGAACCTGCTTGAATACCACCTCTGCTTATAATTCTTATTTAATGTTATGAAGTGCTGAAAAAGTTGAGCACTTTCTCCAACAGAAATAAGACTTCTCTCATATGAATTAACTAAAACAGAGGCTAACCATTTCTAAAGGCACAGAAGCAAAGCATTATGACATTCCATTATTGTATGTATTACTATTTAAAAAATTGTCAAAGCAAGACATTTTCTTCTGTCCTTCTTGAACAGGTCCAACCTATATCTTTGTGCAATAGCAAGTGCCATTTAGGTTATACAAGAAGCAAGATAGAAGGGAAGCCATTTTGCTGTTATGATTGTCTACAATGTCCCCATGGAAAGATTTCCAGCCAAATAGGTGAGATCTTGCAGTGGTATCCTAGAAAATACACAATACCTAAATAAAAATGTGGGTCAAAAGAGCAATGAAAAATTTAGACTAATGTTCTGGATTAAATTGTTCCACCTGACCAATGGATGGAGTACAACATGAAAATTAACCAGCATTCAATTTATGGAATTGATTTCTATAGTGATACCAAATAGTGTTTTGGAGCAAAGGGGTTTTCAAATATAATTTTATTGAAAGTTTACCAGTGTAATTGTTTTTCAAATGTTAACAAAATTTTTAATGTGTATCACTCAGTTTTGATTTTTTCCATGCAATTTATAAATTGCTAATTTATTTTCTAGATATGGATGATTGTTTTCAGTGTCCACAAGATCAGTATGCAAATATGAAGCAGGATTTGTGTCTTCCAAAGATTGCAACATTTTTAATGTATGAAGAAACTCTGGGGATCATTTTGGCCAGTTCTGCTCTTTTCTTTTCTTTGGTCACATCTGGAATCCTTTGGATTTTTATTAAGCATCAGGACACTCCCATAGTCAAAGCCAACAACCGGAATCTCACCTATGCTCTCCTTATTGCTCTTTTCTTGTCTTTTCTTTGCTGTTTATTATTCCTTGGAAAACCTGACAAAGTAACATGTCTCCTTCGTCAAACTACTTTTGGTATCATCTTCTCTGTGGCCATTTCTTCTGTGTTGGCCAAAACTATCATTGTGATTTTGGCATTCATGGCCACTAAGCCTGGGTCTAAGATGACTGGATGGGTGGGAAGAAGATTAACTGTGTCCATCTTACTGTGCTGCACCTTAATTCAAGGATTTATTTGCACTATATGGCTGACAACCTCTCCCCCATTCCCAGATGCTGACATGAGTTCAGGGTCAGAAGAAATCTTTCTGCAGTGCAATGAAGGATCAGTCTACATGTTCTACTGTGTCTTGGGCTACATGGGTTTCCTTGCCATTATTAGCTTTACGGTGGCTTTCCTAGCAAGAAAATTGCCTGATGTTTTCAATGAAGCCAAGTTTATCACCTTCAGCATGTTGGTATTCTGCAGTGTTTGGTTGTCCTTTGTTCCAACATACCTGAGCATCAAAGGAAAATATATGGTTGCAGTGGAGATCTTCTCCATAATTGCTTCTAGTGTTGGGTTATTGGTTTGCATTTTTTTCCCCAAGTGCTACATCATTGTCCTGAGGCCTTCCCTCAACAACAAAGAACATCTAAGAAGACAAACCCACAGAAAAACATGAATTATACGTCTCATTATTTTAAATTGTTTGTAAGAAAACAGAATCAATTAATGCTCTAATCCAATTCTTAACTTGAGTAAAGGTTTTAAATCTTCTGGTTTAATTCTCACTTGATAGACAAAATAAAATATTTACATACCATCTATTATTTTTGTTATTGTCATTAGTTATTTTTTTAAAAAAAATATTGGAATTTATGCTGCCTTGGTACTTCCTTATTTATTGCTTGCTAACAACAGATTTCAACAGAGATGCATTGCAACGGTGACATTGTAAGAAGCCACACTGGATGCCCAAGCAGGCAACCATGTTTGTGAAACTAACTTAGAGGTGCTAGAGCTCATGCTATAGATCAGCTTGAATACATGCCAGATTCCAAAGGTCCAAAATTTACAACTCACTGTCAAGACAGTCACTGATTCACCTCACATGCAACTTTGTCCAATTAACATCTGGCATGGAAGGAGTAGGATTGATTTTATCTGAAGAGAAACTAACTCAAAGTATGAGCTCTTCTACTTTCTCACTAAACCTCTGGGTGACATTCAAGAAAACCAGAAACTTGAGACACTGTGTGAGCAGTGATAGACCTGAATCTGTGCTTAGACCTGTCCTCAAATTCACTAGGCATCATTCTTCTTCCTTTGTTTCTCTTATCACCATTGAACCCCAGATTACATGTATCTCCACCATCCTTCTCAGGAATGATGGCTGATATATCTGAGGGGGAACTTGTTTCTGAATTATTATTACCTTCAAGTTATAATATAAGATCTTTCTAATTCAAGGAATCTATTGAGCATGAGTATCCAACCTTTCAGATTGCCTGGGGCACACTGAGTGAAGAGGAAGTCTTGGGCCACTTATAGAATATACATTATGGTTAATGTTTATAAATAACAAGTTTCCTTTTATATATACACTGCTCAAAAAAAGAAAGGGAACATAAAAATAAGACATCCTAGATCTGAATGAATGAAATATTCTTATTAAATACTTCATTCATTACATAGTTGAATGTGTTGACAACAAACTCACACAAAAATTATCAATGGAAATCAAATTTGGAACCCATGGAGGTCTGGGTTTGGAGTTACACTCAAAATTAAAGTGGAAAAAAACACTACAGGCTGATCCAACTTTGATGTAATGTCCTTAAAGCAAATCAAAATGAGGCTCAGTAGTGTGTGTGGCCTCCATGTGCCTGTATGACCTCCCTACAACAACTGGGCATACTCCTGATGAGGTGGCGGATGGTGTCCTGAGGGATCTCCTCCCATATCTGGACTAAAGCATCCCCCAACTCCTGGACAATCTGTGGTGTAATGTGGCATTGGTGGATGGAGTGAGACATGATGTCCCAGATGTGCTCAATTGGATTCAGGTCTGGGGAAAGGCAGGGCAGTCCATAGCATCAATGCTTTCCTCTTGCAGGAACTGCTGACACACTCCAGCCATATGAGGTCTAGCATTGTCTTGCATTAGGAGGAACCCAGGGCCAACCGCACCAGCATATGGTCTCACAAGGGGTCTGAAGATCTCATCTCGGTACCTAATGGTAGTCAGGCTACCTCTGGCGAGCACATGGATGGCTGTGCAGCTCCCTAAAGAAATGCCACCCCACACTATTACTGACCCACTGCCAAACCATTGCCAAACAACATGCTGGAGGATGTTGCAGGCAGCAGAATGTTTTCCACAGTGTCTCCAGACCCTGTCATGTCTGTCACATGTGCTCAGTGTGAACCTGCTTTCATCTGTGAAGAGCAAAGGGCGCCAGTAGTGAATTTGCCAATCTTGGTGTTCTCTGGCAAATGCCAAACACCCTGCACGGTGTTGAGCTGTAAGCACAACCCCCACCTGTGGACGTCGGGCCCTCAAACCAACCTCATGGAGTCTGTTTCTGACTGAGCAGCCACATGCACATTTGTGGCCCGCTGGAGGTCATTTTGCAGGGCTTTGGCAGTGCTCCTCCTGTCCCTCCTTGCACAAAGGCAGAGGTAGTGATCCTGATGCTGGGTTGTTGCCCTCCTATGGCCTCCTCCACATCTCCTGATGTACTGGCCTGTCTCCTGGTAGCGCCTCCATGCTCTGGACACTATGCTGACAGACACAGCAAACCTTTCCACAGCTTGCATTGATCATCCTGGATGAGCTACACTGCCTGAGCCACTTATGTGGGTTGTAGACTCCGTCTCATGCTACCACTAGAGTGAAAGCACTGCCAGCATTCAAAAGTGACCGAACCATCAACCAGAAAGCATAGGAACTGAGAAGTGGTCTGTGGTCACCACCTGCAGAACCACTCCTTTATTGGGGATGTCTTGCTAACTGCCTATGCTTTCCACCTGTTGTCTATTCCATTTGCACAACAGCATGTGAAATTGATTGTCAATCAGTGTTGCTACCTAAGTGACAGTTTTATTTCATAGAAGTGTGATTGACTTGGAGTTACATTGTGTTGTTGAAGTGTTCCCTTTGTTTTTTTGAGTAGTGTATATATGTACATGTATATATGTACACACACGTATGTATGTATGTATGTATGTATGTATGTATGTATGTACGTACGTAGGTCTAGGTGTGTTCGGGTCTTTTCCTGTGTAAGATTAAGAGTATCTTGGCAATGTTTCGGTGAGGTCCCACTCACCATCCTCAGGCTGGTGCTTTCGGCTTCATGCCGTCTCACTATAATTACTGGTAATGGGGGTTGGTGTGCTGGGCTGGTTGGCTGTGCTGCTGCCTCTTGATTGGTTGATGGAGTTGATGTTGGTATAATGGGCTGTGTGATGGCCTTGTGAGTTTTTTTGCAGAGATATCTTGGATCTTGTATTGTAATCTCCTGGATTTGTTTTATAGTGATCTTTTTTCCATTAGCCTCCTGTGTTTTAACAGCTTGGGTAATGGGTTGTGTGATGGGCTTGTGAGTTCTTTTGTTGTGGTATGCTGGGTCCTGCATTGTAATCTCCTGGGTTGTTTGTGTTTTGATCTCTTTTCCATTAGCCTCCTGTGTAGTAACAGCTTGGGTAATGGGTTGTGTGGTGACCTTGTAAGATTTATTGCTGTGGTATCCTTGGTCTTGTGCTGTGATATCCTGGGTGATTTGCTGTGTTGCAACTTCTTGAGTTCTTGTGGTGTAATTTCCTGGGTTTTTTGATGTGATATCCTGAGCGGGTGGCTGTGACTAAAACCCAGAATGCTACATCACAGCCACCTGCTCAGGATATCACATCAGAAAACCCAGGAAATTACACCACAAGAACTCAAGAACTTGTAACACAACAAATGACCTGAACACACCTAGACCTACTTACCTGTACACGTGAAAATCTACGAAAACACACACACACACACACACACATGTATGTATGTATGTATGTATGTATGTATGTATGTTGTGGCTCCGAGTCCTGAGCCTGCATTCTTAGAGGAAGAGGATTTGGGAGATGAGGAGGAATTGGGAATGCCTTCCTCCCCAGGACCTTCCTCTTCGGCAATGCCTTCCTCCCTGACTGTGCCTCAGGTGTTGGCAGATAACCAAGAGGAATAGCCTGAGGCTAATCAGGAGAAGGAGAAGGGCATGTTGGAGCACCCTTTGACAGGGGATCAAGTAGACGAATGCTGGCTTGATGCAAGGCAGCGTCGCAGGCAAAAGTGTGGGCTGCAGCGCAGGAGGCGTGGACGAATGAGAGAGTGAGCTGAATTAGTGACATGCCCCACAGGGAATAAAAGTGGGTGTGTTTGCTCTGGAATCTTCATACGGGACAACGTATGACTTATTCAGAGGAGCTTCGGAGTATTCTGTGTTGTGACAGCTTGTGTGATTTAGATTCCTGTTTTCTTGCCGGACTTGGCAGACAGCGTGTGTGAGACTGCCAAGAACTTTATCGGCTCAAGGAATTAACTATAATTACTGGATTTGCTGGCCTGTTTGTATTCAGTTAGAGTTTGGACTTCTCACCTCCTTTGTAAAGGTGAGACATAACATTTTTGTCCCGTACCATTAACGTAAACCATCTTTTGACCAAGATGGATCAACAGCAGCAGCAGCAGCAGTACCACCAACTGCAGAATAAAAGCCAGGTTTTGCAACAGCAGGTAGCCCAGTTGACCAATCAACTTGCTCTGCTGCAGGCTCATGCTGCTCCTCCTGCTCCTCCCCAATGCCCGGTGGCTATGCCAGATAAACTTTCTGGGCAGCCTGAAATGTCCCCGGCTTTCATGGGACAGTGCCAATTGTTTATGGCTCTGAGGCTGGATGATTTCCCTGATGACCGGGCTCGGGTGGGGTTTGTAATAGGCCTCCTTTCGGGCTCAGCTGCCAGGTGGGCCACTCCTTTATTACTGCAAGACAGCTCGTTGTTAACAGGGATTTTGGCGTCACCTGCGTCAAATGTATGAGGACCCCATACGGGTACAGACAGCAGCCCGATGCCTGAAAGAACTTCACCAGGGGAAACGCCCCTTGCAGGAATTCATTTTGGAATTTCGACTGATCTATCTGGATTCTAATTGGAATGATGCAGCTTTGATGGACGCTTTTCAGGATGGCCTGTCAGAGGAATTACAGGATGAATTGGTTCACGTGGACCCAGCCCCGACCCTCAATGCTTTGGTGGTGCAATGTTTGCGCATTGACGCCCAACTTCAATGGCGCAAGGCTCGATACACCATCCAGGAGCAGCCACTCACATCTGCCACAGCTCCCTAGGCAACCAGCGCCCCAGGTCTCCCACAGTGTCGTGGCAATGGCCAAGGAGCCGATGGAGTTGGGAACGGTCTGACCTTGTTTGACGGCCTACGAATGCACATGGAGACTCCAGGAAGATTTGTGCCTGTATTGCAAATTCTTGTCCTGTTAAGTGAAGGGGGATATGGAGGCCTGTGCCTGAATCTAGATCTGATCAGTCGGGAAACAGGGCAGGCCCGGCATTGGGGAAACCCTAGATCAGGCAGTATCAACCACCCACCTGAAGTAGTGGAGGTGGACTCTGGGCCTCCTCGGCATCTACTACTACACACTCGGATTTTCTTGCCATCCTGATTGAAGGGAATTTCCGCGATTGCATTGGTGGACTCAGGGGCCACGACTAATTTTATGGACCAGGACTTTGCGGCTCATT